ATTTTTTTATTTTCATTTTATAATTATCGTTTTATTCTAACTATTATCTTTTCTTAATTGTGATTTATTAAGTCTCATTATTTTTCCTTTTTAAAGATACTATAAATAAAAGTAAAAATGGTCCTAAAGTTATGCCGATGAAATGGAAAGTCCTCTGTTTTTCTTGACGGTGAGCGTATTAAACAAGACTTGGCTGCAAAGTTGCTGACTTCCCAGGGTCTGAGCTTAAACAAGGCAAACAGAAAATTGCGGACGATGTTGAAAAAAATCCGGAAGATGTCTGCATTGTCGCCGGAATTAGTCACCGAGATTCTCCTGCGCCTTCCGGTGAGTTCACTCTTACGATTCAGATGCCTTTCGACGTCACTCTGCACTGAAATTGATAGTGAAAATTTCGTCAGGAGTCATCTCAACAGATCAATCCAGACGAAAACCCGCCAAAAGCTAATCGTCTACAACCCAAGATTCAAGGGTCCAAGCGGTTTCTACTATGCTGATTTTGATGATGACCTCGTTGATGCCTTCCCACTCAACAAACCACTGATATCTCGTCATCGCGGCACGTCCGTCTACGGCTCTTGCAACGGTTTAATTCTCTTGGGTATGGATTTTCAAGTTAAAAGTATGGATCTTGCCATATGGAACCCATTCACCCGGCGGTACAAGAGTTTACCGCCTTGTCCAGTCCAAACCCTTCCTGAGCATGGAGGATTCATGAGTTCTGGTTTAGGGTATGATTCAGCTCACGATGACTATAAGATTGTGATCATTTCAAAGGTTCATGACTCTAATCGTGTGTTTTCTCAAGTCTGGGTTTTTGGGTTGAGATCAGATTTTTGGAGGAGGAGCCGAGATTTGGAAGATGAAGTTACCACATCCGTGGGGCGTTTTGCAAATGGTGCTCTGTACTGGGTATGTAAAAATAAGGGTGTTGGTTTTGATGTTGCCAAGGAGGTGTTTTTTGACATCCCGCTATTGGCTGAGTGTGCCCCAGCACCTTTCTTTTTCGATTCCTTCGATTCCTTGGTGGTTTTCGGAGGTAACCTTTATTTTCGTAAATTGCATGGTGAAACTGTAGAATTTTACTTGCTTGTTAGTGATGTGAGTGATAAGAGTGGAGAAGAAGTTGTAGGAGTTAGTTGGAGGAAAGAATTCACTTTGCATGACCTATTCCCGCTTTGGCCTTTAGCTTATTCAAAGGATGGGGATAGCATTCTGATTGGTGACCTAAGTGGGGTTTTTTGGCATAACCTTGAAAACAAAACAAACCAAAGGGTGAATATTCCTAGGGTGCCTAAGTTTTTCCTTTTCGGGTACAGATACAATGTTTGTTGGGAAAGTCTTGTTTCTGTTGGCAAGGATAGTGCATTTGATGGAGCAGCTGAGGAAATGAGAATAGACGATTTAGATGAAGAAGTAGAACAATTTGAAGCTGACATCGAACAATTCGAAGCTGACATCTTTTAGAAGTTAAAGTTTATAAAGACTAATAGCTTTTGTTATATATATGTAGTGAATGGATATGTTTTTGGTTAGTAAGGATGATTGTATTTCACTGAAATTCCATGTCAAACCCAATTTCTGTTTTAACCCTTCTCCTTATAAATCCAAGTTTAGTACCTTTTGTGGAATTTTGCATGGTTTGAAATGGACATGGGGAATTCCCTTTTATTTATATGGGAACTCTGCTTTAGACATGTATCATGTGTGGCAATGTATGTTATATAAGCTTGTTGGTTATTCCTTAGAAACAGGTTGAAAACTACTTTTCTGCCTAACGGAGGTATGATGGTGTAGGGTGCATGTGTGTTGTGTGCATGGGGTAGGGAACATGTGAACACCTATTTTTTTGAGTGCGTGGCTGTGTGTTTGGGCAGCTATAAATATGATTTAGGTACCCAATGAGTTCCTAAATGCTGAAGTGGGGTAGCAAAGGAAGGAGTCATCTTGCTTCAAAGGTGAGATTTGTTTTGGCAGCAGCACTGTACTTCCATGGATGGCAGCATAGGAATTGTTAAATTGTTGTTTGTATATGCAGAAAAGC